ATATATGTATATGTTGTGTGATTCTGTGTATTTTCTTTTGTAATGAAAATCTGGCACAACAATTTCCTGTGGGATCAATAAAGTTCTTTCTTATCTTGTCTTATCTTGGTTAGTTGTTGATTTGTTTGCACATTTGTGGTAACTTTGCAGCTTTATTTTGACTTTGTTTTTCTTGGTGTTCATGTTAATTCACCAATGCAAGCACTCTACAGTTGTGTGCTTTGTTGCGTTTACTTTGCTCCACTTATGTGACAATTTGTGGGGTTATTACTGGTTTTTGTTTTTTTGTTGTTTGTTTGTTTTTTGTTATCTGTTTTAGTGTTTCTTAAGTCGTTTTGTGGCCTGTTTATGCTTCCTTTTTTTTCTCTGTGCTTTAATTTAAAGTCATGTTAACATTTTTGTTTGCATTCTGTGTAAAGTTGCAATATTTTCATGTGAATCTGTAGACATTTTGGTAGTTTAAAACTGTTTCTGTAGTCTAAAAAAGTTAAATCTGGTCCTCTGGACATTCAAAAAAACCAAAACAAAGCAAAACAACAAAAAAATGTAGAAACGTTTCGTCTCTCATCCGAGAGACTTCCTCAGTCTCTCTCTCGGATGAGAGACGAAACGTTTCTACATTTTTTGTTGATTTGCTTTGTTTTGGGGTTTTTTTTGAATGTCCAGAGGACCAGATTTAACTTTTTTAGATTTTTCTACCTGGATTATTGAGCATGCATCAGGATGTTTCTGTAGTCTTTTCGATTCATTTTTGTTGTCGTGTTACTTTTTTTTGGTGGGGGGGTTGATTTTTGATCAAGATGCTTATTTTTCGATGATTTTCCACACAGAACAATAAAGCTGGCACATTTAGATCCATTTATCTACTTTAATTTAGAGGTTGAACAGTTCTGGAGTGGAGAAGTCAGGGATTACGAGCCATTCGTGAATGCACCGCGGAATCCCTTTTTTTTTTTTTCAAAAGAAGGGTGACGTCATGCCCAAACTTCTTGTTGCTCTAAAGTCAACGCGGTTTAGTCGCTGTCTGGACTTTCTGCTCTCGAGTCGAGCGTCGCTTCTGACGGAGCTGTGAAAATTCAAAATAAAGATAGAGGAGGCAGTTTTCTGCTGGAAGAACAGGACGGTTTGTAAAGAGAAACCCGAGCGGAGCCCACATTTCTGCGGGCAAAAAGGCTGCTGAACTTTTTTTTTTGTTCCTTTTCTTTTTCCCTCAAAAATGAACCGGAGTTTCAACAAGTCTCAGCCGCTGCGCAGCGGTAATTGTAACGCCGTGGAAGTGAAAAGCAAGGTGAGTGGTTAATTTAAAAAGATGTTTGAAGGTAATTATTTTTAATTCAGCTCTGCGGCGCTTTGATCTTTCAGCGTGTTTCTGTACATTACAGCAATCCGTCCAGATTATTGTGCTGATTTCAGTCTCTTCCCTCAGCTGCTGAAGGAGGGGAGACAGCACTGGTTTCTTTTTCTTTTTGTAAAGTCTCACCTGTTTTAAATCGGATGTTTTCAGTCCATCCTGGTTGCAAAGTTTCTGTTTGTAATAATAAAATAAACTCATGTAATTTAAGGTGAACTGTATGGCTGCACAGGTTTAGATAGTACAAAAAAAACCACCTTATTTAATTTTAAATAACGTTTATTTTGATTTTACCAATAAGCATCAATCTTTAGTTTATACCACGGACTCCTCAAGGCTGTGACTTTTATATTCAGGTGTGTCTGTGAGCTAAATATCTTGTCAACCATTTGATAGGTTTTATTGAATCTCTTGGTAATTTTCATAAATAGCTAATTTAACTTTTTTTTTGGAGTCAATCCATTTCAAGATGGCTGCCACAGCCAACTGATCTTATAACAGAGAAAAATTGGCAGGATCAACTTTGTCTGTCTGTTAGCAAAATATCTCATCAACCACTACATGGACTTAAATGAAACTTTCAGGATGTGTGGGTGCAACTGGAGTGAACCCCCACAGCTACATCAACTTAGCCACCACAGAAGTGGCTATAACTAAGTCGGGTATTCAGCTAAAGCTCAGTGTGGTAGTAGCTGAGAGTCATTAAAACACACTGATCACCCACAGGTCTGGTGACAACCAGAGAACACGCCTAACTTCATTTACAAGTTTTGACCAAAACGACAATAATGACCTCATATTAAGAGGATTTTAGTCTAAAACTGACATGATGGGCAGCGTGATAAAGTTACAAATTTTAAATAATCATCATTACCTCTTTGTGTGTCTCCCACACAAGAGACTGTCAAATTTAGACAAAAAAATTGTATTTATTTCTCTAAACTTGCGTTTTTTTAAAGCCAGTTTGAGGAAATCATTGTAAAGACTTAAATAAACGGTGTCATCTAAAAGTATAATAGGAAAACACGTGCAGTTTAAAAAAAACTAACTGTTTTAATAAAACTTAACCAGTCTGAGTCCAGATAAGGCTGCATTTGGGTCCAGAGTGGTCCACCATTTGGGGATGCCTGGTCTAGAGGATGGATTTAATTAATAGCCACAGATAAATATGAATTATAGAGTAGTGCAGTTAAATTTAGTCATTTTAATAACTGTTTTTCATACAAAAAGAGATGACATATGGAGCTGTGAACCTCTGCACAACAAGAAGAGTTTTATTTTTGGTTTCTGCTAACCTGATTATTCTACCTCACTGGATGTAGGTTCATCACATGCATGTCTGTGAATAAAGAATGATGAATCCCTTCTTTCTGGTTGACATCCTAAAGCAGAGCGGTGACCAGACAGTGAGATGGTAAACAGATGCTCTGATAGGTGACAGCAGCTGGGCAAGCAGGGTTCATCTTGAACAAACACACTCGTCAAAAGTTGAACACATGCTCAAAGGTGTATCTGCGAAACACTGTGCGGGTGATGCGGGTGGGTAAACTTATCACTGCAGAGCTGACTCACTGGTCACATAATGTCAGGCATTTCCTTTTTTGATCCCAACATCTCGTTGCATCATTCTTAACCGTTATCGTTTTGATTTCCTTTCTCTATTGTTTGTTCATTTCATTACACCTGACCAGAGCTACTTGAGAGTTACTGACATTTGACTACTCAGGAAATCTGATTTACTTATGAAGTAATTTTTTTCTGTGCTTTTCTCTTTTTGGTTTTTAGAATCTGGCTCAGTAAAAATACCTCAATGACTAAAACAGATTTGTGCAGATTTTAAGCTTTTTCTCCTCTTGGATCCGTTTTGGTTGAGTTGCATTTGATTGTTGCTCTGACAAACTCGGGTAAATTGCAGTTTTATGACTCTTTACTCTAAAGATTTATTTATTCTACATGTGACAAATATAACGTCCACATGGTCATGCCTGACTGAGGTAGACTGTTTTTCTAACAATCCCTAAAACCACTCTGATTCGTTTTTAATCTAGTTTAACCTGGTCTAACTCAAACCCATTCTAGAATAGTAAATGTATAATGTACACACAAAGTTGATTCAGACCTAAACCCAGTTTTTCATTTTAGAAATGCTATTTTTAAAATTTATAGAAAAATGAAATATGCCTTCAGTTTTGTGGGAAATTAAAATGTCAGCTTGCTTTTGGTGGCTTTAATATAAAAACAGTTGTGGTGGCATCAAAAATGCACAAGTTCTGACACACACACAGGAGGTAATCTGATAAAGTTACTGTGTTGGCTCAATAATCATGGCCAGTTAGTGCAAACATGGAAGAAAACATACAGCAATGCAAAGAATACCTGAACAATTTCTTCTCTTACATGCAAGAACTTCTGTGTCTTCCCCAGCCAAGCTTTGTTTCTGATAGAGCCCGACTGATATGAAAATTCTGGCTATCACCAATACCGATATTGGGAGGGAAAGACTAATGCTGATAATTGATATAATGGTCGAAATTTTTTGAGCTACTGGTATGTCCGCCCCAAGAATCTAAGTAAACGGGTACTTTTAAACCTGTTTTAGCACTTGAAGTCTTGAAACAGTCTTGCTAACGTGCATTCACATTTTCTATCCTCCACTGTTCACATCAAGTTATGAAGCGTGTTACAAAAAATATAAATTCAACAAAGAAATGCCCTTCCCTGTTCATTGTTTAAACAGTCAGTCATGTATAGTGAAGTATAGTATTGACTGCAGCAATGGGGTTGTTTTTTTTTTTTTGCGAAGAAGTAAAGATTTCAGACAAACAATGCATTTTATTGAGGACGACATATATAACATTACTAACACTGAGCATGCATCAGGATATTACTAACACTGACACTGATATACTGTATATTTACCTCCACATTAGATTTCTTGTTCTTGATAAAGTTTTACAAGCCTTGTAGGGGTGCACCAATAAATCGGGGCCGATTTTTCATGTATCAGCCCCAATTTCCTTAATTTTAGAAGATCGGAGATCAGCCAGTATTTGCATGAGAAACCGATGTTGTCGATTTTTTTTTCTAGTTTTAACAACAATTGTCTAAACTTCATTTATATTTCAGGGCACTACCTCATGGCCAGTTAAAACCAGTTTGTATTGTTTCTAGGATATTGTTCAAGGGTATGTTTTCAATAAAATAAGATTGGAAAATTGAAGGTGCATTGTGACCTTACAACACCTGACCGTGTCGCTTATAAAACAAAATCGGAATCGGCAGGTCAGACTTTTTAGAGATCGGTGATCGGCCAGATAACGGCAATTGGTGCACCCCTAGGTAATCTAAACGTTAGCGTGCTACTTGAGAGGCACATAGCTAATGACAAGCAGGTTGGAGGGTTGAAAAATATGCTACATGCTATTGCTCGCTGCTTCGGCTGTGATGAAAGTGAAAGTTAAAATCAACAGCCATGACTTTAGTGTAGTTTGCATGCACCCTCTGCTGGATACATTGCACAATTATGCCATTCGCAATTAAGGATATGGCTGGTTCCCAGTATTTTAAGAGAGAAAATTAAAAGTGTTTATGTCTGTGCATAATGGGATAATTATCACTGATACCGATATATCCCCAAACGCCTATATCGGCCTTACAGGTATCGGTTGGGCTCTAGTTTGTGATTATAGTTTTTAATCACGTGCAACATTTTACTTGCACATCTTTTTGGACACTAATCAGGTATTTCAAGCCAGTTAAAGGAAATGAACTTATGATGCACTGATTCTAAAGACCATCTCAGACTTTCTTTGCCGCTGAACAGCACAGTTGATATGTTGTCTGCACCCGGTCTGATCTGGACTGAGCCCAGCCTCGCTGCTATCAAGTGGTCTCAACTTAGTCTAACATGGTCCGTGTAAACACGGTCTTAAACTAAATCCAGATTAACCCAGATTAAACCCAGACTGTGTGGCTAATTTAGGAGTAAAAATGTCTTCCCGTGTTGTGCTTTGAGATGATAATCCATGTGAGATTAACGGTTCATTAAGTAAACGATGTAGCTGCACAATAACAAAAGAGTGATTGATGAATAGTCTATCAGTTGTGATAAATCCACATTTTCTCTTTGCTTCTCTCTTTGTCATTCTGACACATAAAAATCATTTTCATCTGAATCAAGTGTGGGTTTCAGTGGCTGTGGGAGTCAGTCAGACTGGATAAGTACATTATTAGCCAGTGCAAACCATAAATGGATGAAACTTGGAACCTATGATTTGATGCATTCAAAGCAGTTTATTGTGATACTGATATTTCAATAGAGGTACATTTTCAATATATTGTGCAACTCTTAATTAATATTAATAAAAACATGTTCATCGAGGCTAACTAGTGCGCCAAAAAAGGTACAGTTGTCCTAAAGAAAAATGCAAACGGGGTGCAAAAGTGACACCAGTGTGTCTGCTGTTCAGACATTTGTATGTTTTAGATGGTTTCCTCCCCTCGGTGCTCCTGGATCTCTGCAGCTCACGTTTGGTTTTCTCAGGGGAAACTGTCCCAGTGATAAGCTTATCACAGATAACAGTGGAGGTGTCTGGCTGCCTGTCGTGGAACTGGATTCAATCACTTAAAGCTCTTATCACAGTATGGGGAGGGATTATGTGTAGGTGGGTGAAAAGAAGGCACGATTTTTTTTTTTTTTTACCCTACCGTAACTTTATTTCATTTCTTAAAATGAAAACTTCATAACATTAGAGCTTTACATCTTTTTTTTTTTTTTTTTTACGTTACAAACCTTTTTAAACCGTTTTCACTATTAGATAAGATAAATGTCGACCAAAGACTGTTGTCTTCCATTTTCTGTTTCTGTGTCGGTTAAAAGGCTTCGGACGTGTTTCAGCCTGTTGGGCATCTCTTTGTCCTGATAGGCAAAGAAGACAAGTGATGCAATGGGCCTGTAGTGATTTATTCTTAGTATTGAGTTTAGTATTTAAGCTTGTGATTAATCCTTCCATGTCGAGACTTGTCCGTAGCCTGGGGCTGATTCTGCATGTGGAAACAGATCGTTGTAGCTGAACGCAACGTTTTTGTACCCAGAAAACTTTCATAATCGGAGAAGTGATGGAGGATAGGCCAGTTTAGTATGTTGGGTATTAAGCGTAAGTTATACAAACCCTACTCAAACGCAGATAAAACTGGTTTCTCTGCTCAGTGTCTCATCTTGTAACGGAAGTTGTTTTGTGCAAGTGGAAATCGAGTTTTCTAGAAGCTGCTTCACAAGCGTGCGTCTCTGCTGCTTTATGTTATAGTCTGTTAACTCATGTTATCTTCTAATTACAGAAAATGGTAAAAGTATCTCCTACCCTTCTGCTGCTGTGTCAGCGATTTTCCCCTTTGTCCTCCTTTTTCCTTGATCGTCTTCCCGCTGTGACACGCTCTTTCTTCTAGTGTTAGCAAAGGATTACTCTAACAAGCAGCATTTTGTTCTACAAGTTACTTCTGTGATTCACACGGTTTCTGTGGGTTGTTTGTTTGTTTGTTTGTTTGTCAGTGTTCATGAAAACTGGTCTTAGGGTGCATCCTTTTTCCTGGTTTTATTCCAACACATAGATTAGAGCAGACGTAGGCAATTTAAGGTCCGAGGGCCAAAAGTGGCCCTTGGATAATCTCCATCAGGCCCCCAAGCATCCTTAGTTTAAAAAAATAAATAAGTAAAGACTGATTAAATAAAACAGCAATTTATCATCAATACTTAAGGAAATTTAAATTAAACATCTTGTGCAAAACTTTAAAAAAAAAAAGACAACTTTTTTTTTTCCAAAAGTCATTGTGTTTCCAGACTAGACTGAACTTTAACAACTTAGAAACACAAGTATCTAAGTTTGTTTGCATATTTCTGCTAACATGTATAACATGTTAAGCTAACTTGTATAATATATATTGTCACCAGAGCCATTTTACAGAATAAGTCTCATATTCCTAAAGGATATTGGAAATGCATGTTCTATAAAGTATGCTAACTATGAATAAGACAAAACCTGAAAAAGCTCTTCTAGACTGTCATAAAGAAAATCCATCCATCCATTTTCTTTACCCGTTTATTCCATTTTGGGTCACGGGGGTCGCTGGTGCCCATGTCCAGCAATCACTGTGCGAGGGGCGGGGTACACCCTGGACGGGTCGCATGTATTTTCCAATTCTCTATGCGGCCTTTGATCGATTTAAACGTCCTGATGTGGCATTTTGGGAAAAAAAAAGTTGCCCACTTTGGATTTAGAGGATCTCCTTGACACTCTTCTTTTGAAGTGGGGTTCTGTGGGAAACTTACCAAAAATCAGTATCTTACCTGTTGTGGATGACTCATTTGAACCTCAGCTTGAAGAAAGAGTTCAGGCCTGAGCCGACTGACTAGCTAACTACTCACCAACAGACCGAGACGCAGTTGGATTGATGCTGTCTTGTCTTTAAACAAAAGTAAATAAATAAATCAAAGCAGTTTATGTGAACACTGTTTTTACGCTGCTTTTTAATTCCTGACGTTTTAATGGGAAATAATGTTTTAGAATGCGTATGTTGGAGTGAGTACATGTCCAGGGCTTTAAGACACCTTCATTCTGGTTTTATTAAATGAAAAAATTACAAGTGGTGACTCTGTGCATTAATTATAAACAGGTTTTCCCCCTTTATTTTAATATTTATACGAATTTAATACATGCAATAATTGCTAGCTTTTTTTAAAGCGGGTCAGCCCAGACACAAGAGAAGCATCAACTTTATAAACTGGTGAAACACTAATTAGCTTCCTTGTTTCTACAAGGTCTAACCATTTCTGGAAGAAAGCATTAAGGTGCACATAAAGCAACTCCTTTCTTTTTTTACCCTTGAGGTTAATGTTTCCTGTTCTGTGTTATGCAAATGTTAGTAAAAGGTTCTGGCTGTTTTGAAACCGGTTTCTCAAAGTATAAATGCTCATTAAGATATTTTTTTTCCCCCAGCGACATGCTTTGCTTGGTCACACTCAAATTCTCAGTTGTTTTTCTTTTGTTTGTCTGTTTTTCAGTATGGAGCAGAGTTTCGCAGGTTCTCTCTAGACCGGGTCAAGCCTGGCAAGTTTGAGGAGTTCTACAAGCTCATACTCCACATTCACCGCATTGCTAATATGGAGGTGATGATTGGCTACGCCGACGTCCACGGGGACCTGCTGCCGATCAACAATGACGACAACTTTTGCAAGGCCGTGTCGACGGCTCATCCGCTACTGAGGATATTCATACAGAAACAAGGTGAAGTTTGTGAAAACCGTCCTTATTTACTGAGACATTCTATGCTAGATTTGGCGTTTATTACTTTGGGGTAATTTGTGGGGTAAAACATCTTATTTGGTTTCAATTAAAGCTGGTTAGATTATTGCTTCTTGCATATTTTGATTGTGGTATGCCTATAAAACAATCATCTATGACATTAACGGCGTCTTTGGCTGCAATTAGTGTCCGGCCTTGAATCAAGTTTTGCCGCAGAATGTTTCCTCAGCCAGTGGTGCTCGTCTCTTTGCCTTCTTGTTTACTTCATGCAAGACCTTGTGTGTGTGTTTGTGTTTTCGGGCCTCTTTATTTGCTGGATCAGTCTGTGTCTGAGTCTGTCTGCCCAGTTAAGTCCCGAGCCTTATCCAGAGGAAGGGCTTGCAGGCAGATGAACTCGCACACAAACGGAGACCAGTGGCTCGGCAGTTCTATAGAAATCAGGTCATTGAGCAAAGCTTGTGTCCCGGCATACCAGACATTACTGAGAGACAAAAGATCTGCATGAAAAGGGAGTCTCCTTGAGGAGCTCGCTGGGTTTGTGAGTGTGTATTTTAATACCAAAATCACAGAACACTGAATAGGAACAGAGTCCTCAATCCGTCTCTGCCTCTCATTGATCCCAACATTGGAATGGGTCTTGACTGCTTGCCAGCAAGTTGCCCAGCATACAAATGAATCCATCAAAATTCACGTCTTTTTAGAGCCTCAATCCTCCTTGGAATGTCTCTCACTCGGTTCTGTAATGAACGTGTACACCCCAGGGTATTGTTTTAATTGTCGTCCAGCAGTTCCAGCTTACTAAAGCTATCCACAAGTCTTTGAAAATCTTTTTTGTGGATTTTTATTAAAAAAAAATAGGTTTTAGACATAGTTTTTTTTAAAGTTGTGTTTTCCAGCTGGTTTCATGTTATGAGGATTCAGGTTTTAAACAGCTCAAGGTCTCTTATGTTGATCTTTACATTTTCAAATACTCTTGATGTTTAATTGAATAAATCTGAATTACAGAATGCTCAGTTTAGTATTAAGACTTCAAACCAATGCCGTTCTAAAACATTTGAAAAGAGAAATAATGGCTTTGCAGCACAACGTTTGCTTAATTCTTTAGCCTGTAAGACAAACAGAACATATATATATATATATATACCTTCTTTGACATATTATAAATTCATCCAACCTAAGGATCATTTACCACAGTTTTCCTCTTCACCATCAGCTGCCACCTTCTGCTTTATTGAGGCGCAAGTTTTAGTCGAAGTAAAGATTTAATACATTCCTGTTTGTTGCCTTAGGTAGGATTCTTTTTATCCTCTAGTGTACTGAATACAGTAGTCCCTCAATTATTGCAGGGGTTACGTTCCACACACCCCCACGATAGGTGAAAACTGCAAAGTAGGAATGTTATATTTATTTTAGTATTTATATATATTTTAAGGCTTTAGAAATCCTTCCCACACTCTTGCAATGTTCTAAGCTCTTAAACCTACGTAATTTTAACAACTTGCGTATATGTACTGCACAGTAGCTACTGCAAAATTTTATATGGGTACTCACCAGCCTTGTTCCAGTTCTGGTCTGGTTGTGGTCGGCTCTCTGCAGTCGCTGAGCACCAAGACGCTTTTAAAGAGAGCCGGACCTTCGGATAGCCAGCACAAAACCACACAATGGTCCCAATCAAGTCCAAATAATCCAGAGGGATCTGGATGAAAAAAGTCTGGGTGAGCTCCAGAGAAAACACCGGACCTCCAAGCAACGCCTCCCCGCTCGAGAGGCTTCGTGGGCCGGCAAGCAGCGCTCAGATTGACCGGTGAGGCTGGAAGTAGTCCTGGTCCAATTCCCGGTCGGTTTCGTACGGCTCTCTGCATCCACTGAACGCAGAAGTCATTATGAAAAAGGACCATTAGGTTCGGATCGGATTAAAACTTTCCCTCCATTTCGGCAGAAAGCAATGGCCGGAAGCACTGTTGGCTTCTGGGTAATGTAGTTCTTTTGACTGGCAATGCAGTGTAGGCTTATTTAGAGAAAACTACCAAATGACGGCGCCTATCCATAGTATTTTTTTTGCGTTAACTTTTTGTATCTGTATCGTCCCAATCACATGAGTAATATTAAAGTTGACAATCGTTGGAAAAAACGCAAAAGAACGAGCCCACAAAAGTGGAACCGCGAAGTAGCGAGGGACTGCTGTATACTGAATGTAACTGTAGTGATGAGTTGGATTTTATTTGCAGTAGAACATATCAGTTTTGATTTGTATATTTTTACTTTCTCCTTATTTTGTTTAAACATAATTCAGTTGTAGCTCAACTTTGTCGCCATCTGTAAGTTTCTGATTTCTACAGGATTATGGTGTTATTCCTACATTTCCTACAGTGTTGCCCGTGGGTATCAGGAGCAATACTTACCAGTACTAATGTTTCACTTGGTCGTTATCTGCACATGTTTTCCACTTTTATATTTGTTTCTTAATACAGCAGATAAATGCACATTTCCCATTTCTTTATCTTCTTCTGCACCTCTGAAGGACTCAACTTCTTTAGCCTTATCTCATCATTGACCTATAAACTTTCAACGTACATTTCTTTGTTTCGTGGATTCAAAAAGGAGGTCATGACCTTTGGTTGGGTTATAACAGAGCATATGTTTCTTGTGAATTATTCATGTCTCGCTTTCTGCAGCAGTCTATAGCACTTTAGGAAATAAAATAAAACCAACCCAGTTGTTTTCCCCTGACGGAGCTTTTTTTGTGTGTTTTTTGGTGGTTTAAATACAACATTGATATGATGACCAGGTTTAAAAGAATGTGATGCTAAAACAGATTCAGCTGTCTGTATATCTGCAGTCCTTTGTTAGTATTCAGACAAAGAGGTGAGTGTGTGACTGTACGAGTACCTCATTCCTGAGAGGAGATGCCCTGCACCCAGTGTGCTGCTGGAATCAGTGTGTTTATAATGGCCGTATCAGACAGTACCAGCTTGTAAGCACGGGTCACCAGTGGTGTCGCCGTCCATCCCGGTCAGCAGACACATGAAAGAAAAGGCTTCACATCAGGGTGACTCACCAGTTGACTGAGCTTTCATATGGATAAGATTAGACAGTTCAGCACATAAAGTATACTTTCCTGTGTTGTTTAAAAGGTGGAAAACTATATTATCTCAGAAAGTTAAAAAAAAAAGTTGTTAGAGGTTGAAATGTGCTTGTGTCACAGATTTTAATGTATTATTATTATTATTATTATTATTAGACCTTTATTTATACAGGCTAGTTCCCATTGAGCCTCGTTTACAAGAGAGACCTGTTACGTACAACATACAAGCAGATGAGAAAAAGAGAACACGAGTGTGTAGGGGAGTTTCAAGAACTTTATAAGATTTATAGATGGAACTCAAAAAGGAGAGCGGAGAAATAAAAACTAATTGTCCAAGATTTTGTCTTATTTGACATAATTTTAACTCGAAGCCACAAGATCTAAGAACTAATTGCTCAGTTTGTTTAGTCAGACATGAACCCACCCTTTCGACCGTCGGATCAGATCAACTTTGTGTCTGTGTTCATCCTTTTCCACTCATGCTCTGTTAAACAATGGTTATAACATATCTCTTTTATCTGCATGACACTCCCTTCCAGGCTTAGGTCTCCTTCGTCGGTGAAATCACTTAAGCGCGTGCCATACTTTTGTGAAGATACAATGAGAATCCTGCTGACAATACCCATTACTCCCCCGTGGGGACTTATTGCGGCTCCTTAACCGATGACCTTTTTTGCAAAGAATACAGATCTGAACCTTGTAGCTTTTTCTCCAAGAATTCTCCTCTCGATGTAGATAATGGCAGCGTCCTCGTCTCCAGATCAGAGACAGTAAAGATGATGTATTTGGTGTTTTCTGAAAAAGATGGTTTTAAGGGCTCCAAGTGTTACAGGAACTGGGGTGGTTCCTTAAGGACAATGGACCTTGAACATTCTTTGGTTTTCTTCCCACCAAAGATTGTAACGTTTAGATAACTTTATGGCCAGCTGGTGGGGAAACATGGTTAGTGGCATTTGTAATTCCTTAATAATCCCTGGTCTTCAGTATTAATCTATTAAATTGTTTTTGTTTGATTTCTTTTGGTGGACTAAGGTTTAGAACATTTGCGTACATAAACAACTTTTATTCACCTCCTACAATATTGTTCTGTGCTGTGAAAGGTCCTGAGTTTAACCATTGGTTTAGCTAATCGCTGTCTCTCAACCAATCACCAGATAGTTGTGCCAGACTGAGTCCAATTCTTAAACTAGAGAAATTGCATTTCCTGCAAAAATGCAGTGTGAATGCTTATTGCTGAAGAATTTGCTGAAAAACAGCTGAAATTAGCTAAAAAACTTGTTAAAATTTTAGTTGAAATGGAAGAACAGGCCTAAATTGGCAGAAGAAAGCCGAAAGAACACATATTTGCTGAATTAGGATTAAATAAACAGATGTGAGAACAAAAATTAAGAAAATGGCAAAAAAAAAAAACAGCTGAAAAGTCAGAAAAAAACAATCAGAAAGAATCAGAAAGAGCTGAAATGAGCAAAAAATATGGAATTATCTGAAAAAGCTAAACAGCATAAAACAGCTCAATGGTAGCTGAAATAGCAAAAAAAGCTGAAATGAGCATAACAAGCTGAAATTGGCAGAAAGAAGTTAATTGGGCTGAAACTAGCAGAAATCCCCCCCAAAACTGACTTTGTCTGAAAAAAGCTGAAATTAGCAACAACAACAAAAAAAAAAACCTGGTGAAAAGTAGCTAAAAAGGCAGAAATAAGCTTAAATTACCAGAAGGAAGTGGAGAGAGCACATTTTTGCTGAATTGGGTAGAAAAACGTTTAAATTAGTGCAAAACGTGGAATTACGGTAGATGAAAAAGCTAAAATTAGCATAAAACAGCTAAATAGTAGCTGAAATAGAAGAAAAAGCTGAAGCTAGCAGAAATAAGCTGAAAAGAGCATAACAAGCTGAAATT